AACCCTAGGAATGACAATCTTCCCTCCCTACACTCAAAACTCAATTAAAGCATTCAGCAAGCATCGAACCTTTGTAACAAACCAAAATACATGATTAAATTTCATAGAAAAAGCATGTATGCATGTAATCAAAATCAAAAAAATATGTCAAACCGTGATGTGTATAGAGCGTGATTCTTGAGGCTTCAGAGCTTGGCAAGGGTTGAAAAAGCTTTCAGATGCGTCCAGGAATGTGTTGCAATCTTTAAAGCTCCTTGAGAATGGCTGTAATCTGAGATTCCAATTGAGATTTTTTAACAAAAGTGCAATTTGTTCTTGGCCATTTCACACAAGTTTTCTTTGCCTCCTTGTGCTTGGGATCTTTTCTGTATATGTATCTCTTTGAATTAGGTTAACAAAAAAGCTCCAAATTCTTGCCAATTATTAAGATTTGATTTCATTCCAACCTTGCATTATTTCTTTTCAAATCAAGATAAATCATTCCATTCTAACTCCAATCAACCTTGGCATGATTTGATTCTGTTTTGGCAGCATAAATGGATTGCATTTCATTCAAAATCAGATCAAAAACAAATCTTCCATATTTTATATCATTTATTTGATTTAATTTGATTTTTAAATGAGTAAAATCAAAATAAATTAAATAAATAAAGTCAATACAATATGGAAGAGTGTTTGGGTCGTGGACCATGTTGGAAGTGAGATGCAAGCACAAAAAGTTGGGCCCATTTGCCAAAAAAATGCAATTTTGGGCATTGTTGACTTTTGACAATTCTCCAAAAATGGCCAACTTTGACAAGGCATATCTCCTTCAATTTTGACCCTAAGAGGGTGTTCTTGGACTTTTTAGAAATATTAGGATGTCCCCTAAACAACCTTTTTGGGTTCATTTCAACTAGATCTTCCATGCTCATGTAAGAAGCTTTGACCCAAAAGGTGTTTTTGTTGACTTTTTGGAATGACTTATAATGTCTGAATTTATATCTTTTCATGAGTGCATTTCTTGAACTTGAGGACTGAAGATGAGTTGCAAGGAATTTAATTCTCTTCCAAATGAGCCTTGTATGAGAAATTTATGATAAAGTATGAGAAAGTTATGCTTGGTCAATGTTTGGTTGACTTTTCCCTAAGAAACCTTAATTTAGCAACTTTTGAGTTTGGATGAATTAGGAGCCTTCCTTGGGGAATCATGATCAACCCTTGATCAAATGATGGATAAACTTCAAAATGTTGATGTTGACCAAAAATCTTGGAGTTTGACTATTTGTGGGCCCTAGTTGACTTTTGACCTGATATAGTTGATTTTCAAGCATCTGAGCAGTTGACTGGGCAAACTTCTTGTGCAAGGCATGAAACTTGGCGTGAATGGTTTTGATAACATATTAGGACTATGGAGAGCATATGAGGCCTTTGGGACTCGCCCATCTTGATGAAAATGGAAACCCTAGTTAGGGGTTCATTGCTTTAGGAGAGAGTTTGTCTGGTCAACTCTTGGGCATCTTTGAGCAAGTTGAGTATCTTAATGAACATATGTTGAGTAAAATGGGAGGGACAATTTTGGGGTACAACAATCTCCCTTAAGCGGAGTCTCTTTACAGACCGAGACTTTCGTCTCTAGGTCATGAAAAGTCTCATAATGAATTTTTTGGTTTAAAGGCCATACAAAGAGTCATAGGTGTCATTCTAAAGTCCCACTTCCCACGATGATGTCTCTCTAAATGTATTCCTTTTGTGGAATTCCACCGACTCTAGGCGAACTCGTCGCATAAACTCATGGGGTTGATGTAACCTCTTGGCTAATAGACGAACCTTCTTTCTAAGGGTTTTTTGAAAATATTATTTTGCAAAATTTAAATCTCACCACAGATATAATATGATAAATATAATAAACAAAATAAATTAATAAAAATAAAGAAAAACCAAAAAAAATAAGAAAAACCCTAAAACCTAAAGGAGAGGATTCTAAACCTAGGGTTGAGTCCCAGTAGAGTCTCCAGCTGTTGTAACTGGTTTTTAAACCAGAGTCGCCACCCTTAATTTTTATCCTAAGGAAGGGAATATAAAGGAATAACTCTAAAAAGTTCAGAGATTTTAGGTCGACTCGATTCTAGACGAAGAGAAGATGTTAGGCACCACTCATCTACCTTGTTCACAAGGATACTAGGTTTAGAAGCGCAATTTTAGGAAATAAGGTTTTAATTTTTATTAGGGGAACTTGCCACGATTTAAATCGTATGCCTACGTATCCTCTTAGGAGGAATCAGAGTCTTATTTCGTAGTTCGTGGTTAATAGCAGAGATCTAGGTGTACGAATAGCAGAGATATTAGACGGAATATGCAGTCGATTCAAATATACTTATAACCCTTTTTGAAGATTAATTATTAGATTATTTTGATTTACAAAAATAATTTGTGGTTGGTTAAATATTATTTAATATATTAATTATCAAAATATTTTATTTAGATGCATGATCAAAAGAAATAATTTAATGCAATAAATAAAATATATTTGAATGTGTTTAGGAAAATATTATGATTTATAAAATAATAGTAATATAATATTATAATATATAAATATATAAAAAAAACACATATAAAAATAATAAAATTAAAATAAAATAATTTTAAAAAAAATGTAGAGGGTGCAAATTATGTAGGATAGTAAAATGGGGAGGTGTTAATAGCATGGGCCTGAATTCAGATATTGAATTCAGGCTCAAAAAATGCAAGGAGGTGTGTTTTTTTATCTATGCATCAAAAAAGGAGGTGTATAAGGAATAAGGCCCAAGTCCAGATTTTGGACTTGGCCTATTTTGCATGGGGGGTATATTTTGAGCGTGTTAGTAAAGTAAAAATAAAAGGGTGTGCAATCAGTAATTGGGCTCGGTCCAATATTTAACCCTTATATCAAATACAAAAACGTAAAAAAGGGAAAAAGAAACTGAGTGATTTGTTACCACGTCATGCTTTCTCTTCTCTGCTTCAATCTTGTCTCCGCTAATCTTGCACTTTCTTTTTGTTTCGCAAGTGACGAAGGTGGATGGTGAGGACGACGATGGAGGGTTAAAGCAACAGCGGCTCGGCTCCTTCTTTTTCTCCGTTAAGAAAAAATTGCTTTGTAAATTTTTATTTCTAATTTTCTGTAGTAACTTTCCTCATTTTTTTTCGTCTCCGTAATTCTTTCCGCTCCGATTTTTTTGTTGGTCCCCTCTTCTGATTTCTTCTTAGGTTTTTATAGAGTTTTTAGGATTCACAGATTTAGGAAACTTTTTAATATGTCTGTAAAGTTAATACAATTTTAATTTTGTATTGATTATGAACTTGATTTTGTCTGATTATGTTTGTATTAGGTTTTGATTTGTATTAATTTAGTTTTTGTATTAGTTTGATATTGTCTCTGGAAACTTAATGCACAAATTTGCTTATGTTTTATTATAATAAAAATAGTAAGACTAATAATAAGTTAATAATAATAATAATAAAAATGTTATAATTTAAAATATAAAAAAAAAACATTTTTTTAAAAACGATAATCAAAAACTGAATTGGGTCATATCGTTTCAATTTATTGGGCTTTAACAAGAAAATGAATTGCTTTATACACCCCCTTTTTAATATTTGAAATGGACTAAAAAAATTACATGGGCCCTTTCTGATTTAGAAAGGCTCATGATTTTTCAAAATATTGTAACTCCTTTCAATATTTAAAATAGGCTGAAACCTGAACAAAATCATATCTAAAAATGCAGTTGGCTCAAAAAAACTTACATGACTTTTCTGATTTAGAAAGACCCATTGATTTCTTTATAAGATAAAACCCCTCTTTATAAATTTTAAACTCACATAACTATATGAATAATATTTCATAAAGTAAAGTAATTTTTAACAATAGGAATAAAAAAAATTAGGAACAAATAGGGCAAATTTGGAGTATGACACTCGCTCAGATGGCCAAGTCGTTTCTGCCACAATTCTTTGGTTGCGTATTGAGAAACATTAGTCTCTCCCTTGTTTATCTTTCCTTGCATGATGTACAGGGAACCTTATTTTTTCCACGATCAACTTTCATGCTCCCTTTTCTAAGCTTTCATCTACCACCGTTGAATTGGTTTATCATCCCCAAGTCATCCAAATTTCTTACTTGGATAAGGTTTAGACGTATAATCTTTTTTAAGTTAAAGGGCTAAAATAAATTTTGAGATTAACATACTGGAAAAAAAATATTTTCTCTAAAAAATAAATATAAATGATGGAAAGAAAAAAAAAGAAGCTTTTTTTTTGATAAAAAAAACCTTTTTTTCTATTTTGACAAGATATCAATAAATGGAGAAAGGCTAAAATAATTTTTTTGCTAGCAATTTGTTTTCGTAGATATATATAGTAATAAATGATTCGTTTTATATAAAAATACATAGATGCAAATTTCTTTTTAGATGTTTTAAAATTGTTGCATTATAAATCAAGATGGAGTCGTGACCACTACGAACTACATAATGGGGAATATTTCACCTAATAATATAAATAAATTTCAACTGTATATAAATAAATTTCAATATAACATTTTCACCTAATAATAGAAATAAATTTTAACACTTTATATATAAATTTTAATATAACATTTCTGATATAGTTGCGAGATTATATGCGGAACTTTTTTTTTTTTATGAAACTGAATATGGTATAGTGATTAAATTTAAATTTAAATTTAAATTTAAATTAGAACATATGTGGAATATTCTTGTAGACGATGGAAGTGGATTTCATATGTGGCTTAACTACACTAATTAATTCCCAACGAATATTCCTATTTTTCTGGAAAAGATCCTCTCATGACATCTTAGCCGTCAGATTCGTGATCAACCTAAACTTCCTCACATCCAACGGTTCTAATTAAATTTGATTAAGAATCAAAACCTATGCTTTTCACATTCAAGCCTAATATTATTCACTATAAATACCTTTTGTTATTGTTTATATTTCTCATTCTCTTTGTCGCCATTATGGGTAATAGTAACATTGTTGTGGTTTTCGACTTTGATAAAACCATAATCGATTGTGACAGTGATAATTGGGTTGTTGATGAGTTAGGTTTCACTGATTTGTTCAATCAACTCTTTCCTATCATGCCATTCAACAAACTCATGGTACGTAACCTTGTTAATTATATTTACGTTACATAAATAAATAATTAAGTTATTATTTTTATTTATTTGTTTTTGATTTATAGGATAGGATGATGATGGAGCTTCATTGTAATGGAAAAACAATTGAAGACATTGTTGAAGTTTTGAAGAGAGTTCCTATACACCCTAGAATGATCCCTGCCATTAAAGCAGCAAATGCTTTAGGGTGTGATTTGAGGATTGTTAGTGATGCAAACACGTTTTTCATAGAGACAATTCTCAATAACCTTGGAATTAGAGAATGCTTCTCTGAGATTAACACTAATCCAGGTTATGTTGATGAACAAGGAAGATTAAGAGTTTTGCCATATCATCATCTCAACCAAACTCCTCATAGATGTAACCTCTGCCCTATAAACATGTGCAAGGTGTGTATGAGTGTATCTAATATTTATCTAATTACTTTTTGTTATTTTTTATGAGCCTTTTGAATAAAATTACGGTATTAATTTAAATAATACTTTAATTTTCAGGGTCTGATAATAAATAGAATCCAAGATTGTTTTCCATGTGAAGAGAACAAAAGGTTTATCTATCTTGGTGATGGTAGTGGAGATTATTGTCCAAGCTTGAATCTAAAAGAAAAAGACTTTGTGATGCCGAGGAAGAATTTTCCGGTATGGGATTTGATTTGCAAAGATCCATCTCTTGTGAAAGCTCAAATTTATGAATGGGGTGATTGGGAAGAACAAGAAAGGATTTTGCATGAATTGATCAACAAAATTTCAATGGAAGAAACTGCTCAATTCAAGAAGATGACTCCATCCTTCTCTGGTCATGAAGCTTTACCTGTTATGCTATAATAAGCTAGTTTAATTTGATGTAATAATTACAAAAATATTTCAAACTATTTTACTTTTTAATTGACCTTTCCCATAGTTTACAATCACAAAAATATAATTTTACACATATTAACTAATATTTAATTATTTAATTTATTATTTATTTAATTTTTTAGTTTTTATCCATAATACTAATAAGTGTAGAAAATAACTTAAATATATGATTTTTATGACAACAACTTTTTAACTACTATTTTATTTATTTTCTAACTATTTAATTTTAAACTTTATTTAATAATTTGATTTAAAAATATTTTTTATCAAAGGTAATTCTTTATATGAATTCCAATAAGATAAAAAATATTTTAAAATACATTTTCACTCATTAACATAATTATATTTTGTTAAATTAATTTTGAATCGAAAGACATAATTATGGATTATTTTCACTTATTTAAATTGAACGTCAAAAACCTAAATATTGTAGGATAAATAATTAAATTTGTTATATTATTAATAAAATAATACATAAAACTCATTAAGGTGTTAATGATCCATATTCCTTTTATCTATTTACACTAAATACCAAAAAAAATCAAATATTATTAAAATGTAATTAAATTAAATATAATTTTTTCATAAATATTAAATATATAAAATATCAAATTCTTTCATTCTTACTTATTTCCTTTGTTATATAGTATTTATCATTTCATTCAATTTTAATTTTTAATTTTCATGTATTGTCATCATTATAGTGTATACTTGAGATATTTTTTGATAGGGTATATAGAAATATAAATTTTATATTATAATATTAAAATTTAACTATGAAAAATATAATATAAAAGTATTATTAATTTATAAGAATATTTTCTATAATTTTTTTTATAATATCTATTTTTCCCTTATTTTTATTGAGGAAAGCAAAAAACTTGATAGTATATTTTATGTTAAAAGACACATATTTAAATTGAAATTAAAACTGAGAATTAGAGAAAGATGAGATTATAAAATTTGAGAATTTAAAGGATAAAATTAAATTTTAAAATAAAATAAAATAATGGAGGCACTAAATTATATATATATATATATATATATATATATATATATATATATATATATATATATATATATATATATATATATATATATATATATATATATATATATATATATATATATATATATATATATATATATATATATATATATATATAAAAGAGCTATTAAGATAACAATTAAAGATTTCATACAAAAAAAAAATTTATGATATGTTTGGAAATTTAGTTTTCACGGTTAAAATCCATGTTTCAATCCACCGTGAGCAGAAGCTACACCTAGTAGCTTTTTAAAATCATGGCTAAAACAAGAATTTTTTTTAGTAATAATTAAGTATTGAAAAAAATATACAAATAATTATATTTTAAAAAAAATTATACAATTAATTATGTTTCAGAAAATATTACAATAGAGACGTCAAGTGAGATGGCGCATGCACTTTAATTTTATAAGGAGACGCCTAGTTGCAATATATTTGTCCTAAGTCATCTCAGATGGCGCCTAAGTGCATTTAAGAGGCTTTCTTTCTTTCTATTTTAAATACGAGACAATAAGTAAACGATATAGTTTCATGAAACTTCTATTTTTCATTAACAAATGAATGATTACATAATGAAAAAAAAATGATGCATATTATTTAGTTGTCCCCTGAAACTCGGTAATGACCAGTGGTTCCGCATCCACGTCCTCGCCTATCTTGTGGTGGGTTTCGTCGATTTTTCTTGTTGCGGTTGGGTCGATGGCCCAGCGAAGTCAATGCGTTCAGGATCCATGAAATCGGTCAGATCACCATATTTAGAAGATCCGCTTTGGTACAGTCGGTTACCCATGCCCTCAAAGTTTGATCGTCTTGGTGGGGGTGGGGTTCCATGGATGGTCTATAGCACTGGTCGTCTGAGTAAGGGGGTAAAAAGAAAATGAATCTTGGGGTGTTTGATATTGCGACGGTTGGGTGCTATGGTGATGTGGTGGTTGATGGTAAGTTGGGTTGGTTGGGTCATATTCTTCAAGAAAGCCTAGATCTGGGCTAAGTTGAGATGATGAGGGGCCCACATCGGGATGTGGAGAAGAATGGAATTGTGTATGGGACATGTGGGTGTATTGGTATTGCGATTGAGATTGGGGTTAGGTGTGGGGCATGTGGGTGTATTGGTATTGAGATTGGGGTTGAGTGTGGGGCATATGGGTGTATTGGTATTGAGGTGGTGGTTGTAGTTGAGTATGGGGCATATGGTGTATTGGTATTGAGGTGGTATTGATCTGTGTGTCGCATATTATTCTGGTTGGGGAAAACAGGGAATTGCAAGACATGTTGGAGATGTCTATGCCATATCTTACACCATTCTGGAGCAAAATCTTTCCAATTAGTAAGACCCCATTGGGCGTCGACCCTTTTGAGATGCCAGGGTGACAAATAAGTTGGATCTCATGGTATCTCTTGATGCATTTTGAACTGCATCTTAACATAGTTGTTGTGGTGCATCTCCACAATATTGAACTGCATGATTGCAGTCTTTGCAGTCCAAACTGTTGCATCTTCGAGGTTTGGTTCATGGTCCAAACTCAAATATGGTCTCCAGATAAACTGTGGATAAAATTAAATCAGAATAATGAAAACGTAAAAAAAATAAATTAAAAAATAGAAAAGTTCAAAGGTATCATGTACATCATCTGGGTCAAGGTGATCCAATAGATTACAATATAGAGCGAAATTGAATCTTGGATTCTTGTCGTAATCCATATCTGTTATGCAATACCTAAAGGAATTGAAAAATAGTTAATTTTATACATTTATTTGGCGAAAAGATAAATAATAAATTATTTAAGTTCTTGACTTACTTTGTTGCGGATGGGAAAATGAATGCATTGTTGTTGACGGGGTTTAAGGACTCCATTCTCCACCAATCCCAGGCTTGGAGTAAGAAAGCGCATCTATAAAAATATATTTGTCTTTTGTTGCGTTTTTACACAAAGAACTCTATAGATTGGCTAAAACAGCAAAACCCCAACTATACTTTCTTGTTTTTTCAAAGTTCCTAAGCAAACTTAAATACATAAAATTTACACTATTTCCATGTACTTTCGGGAAATAACAAGCTTCCAAATAGTATCATCATATAATTTCTAGCTTTTATTATTCTTGCTAGCTCAGAAAAATTTTCATTCAACACAAGAGTCGCATTTTTGAGTTCGGTTAGTAATATACTTTGGTCTCTAGCACCACTACCTTCTACTATATCTTTGCCCAACAATTTCTCGCATAGAGAATTGGATTGTTGAACCGACTCATTAACTGTCTTACCATCGATAGGGAGACCCAATAACATGTACACGTCCTCTAGTGTGACGGTACATTCACCTATTGGTAGATGAAATATGTGTGTTTCAGGTCTCCACCTTTCCAACATTGCAAGTATAAACTTGGAATCAATCGTGAAGTTTGATATTTTAATAACATTTCCAAAACCCGCATATTCGAGATTGGACATGATCAACGGGTCGGGAGTAATGTAGTTGTGTGAGCGAATTCTAAATTTTTTAGTATCCTAAATTCAAAATGTAAAAAGTGTAAGAGTCCATAAGATGACTAATTGAATAATAATTTTATAAAAAATATATTAATATACAAGAATATTTAAGAATTTATAGAAACATACAAACGCCGCAATGTTGTCTCTTGTGCCCCTGTGAGAATCGCCCATTACGAGAAGAGCCATATTTGAAATTGTATAAGACAGTGAAAGATTTTGTATCAGAGAGTGAGATAATTGGTGATGCAAAACAAGTGTCTCAGGTGCCATATTTATAGGAAAAATCGTATAAGAGTGAATTAATGAGGTGGTTAGTGGTTGCATGCATGCATAATACGTGACATGTTGGCGCCAAGTCAAATGGTGCCTACATGAATTTTAGAGAGCGTGCGCCATTCAACTTGGCGTCGGACAGACCTACATGCAGAGTAGGTGACAGCGTAGGTAGCAGTATAGAGGCAGACTTTTGTGCATGCATGTAAGGTGATTAGACATGTAGGGAAGCGCAATTTGACTTGGCGCATGAGTGCAAATTTGAAAGGTGTCGCCATTTTAATTGGTGAATTAGTGGTGGAACATTTTTGTCTGGTTCAAGTTTAATGAAATCTATTTATCCTATATACATCTAATGTTATCAACACTCAAACATTCAAACATTTAAATACTCAAACACCCAAACCTTCAAACATTCAAACACAGTGTCATCTTCACCACAATACGTTATCAGTGCACATTTCAATGGTGAGATGTACATTTGTCCCACCTTTGGGTTTTTATTTAGAGACACTAAGAACATTCGATTTTGTTTTAACAAAAAATCTAATTTCTTGTATTTCAAAAAATGATTAGAGGTCAAACTTGGACGAGGTCCAGTGACACACATATTCTATCAAAATTTGGTTTTTTTTGTGAGAACCAAATAATATTTTATAAGGTAGAGGTTCAAGATGACGAGGACCTTCAAAATATGTTTTCCAGTCCTGAGTATTCTGGGTACGACTCAATTGAGTTGTACATTGTACTGCGGGAGCCTCAGTTGTCACGACCAACTCAGTCACAAGTGGTTGATCCTCTCGAAGACGAATAAGCATAAATAGATATCGTTGACAAAGAAGAGGATAGGGGTGTTCGCGGTGCGGTTTGGGCGGTTATGAAGCAAAAAATCACCCGAATCGCAAGAGAAAAAACATGTGGTTTGGTTTGGTTCGGTTGGATTTTAAAAATAAATCCCAACCAAACTAGACCAAACTAATGCAATTTAGATTGGTTCGATTGGTTTGGTTTTTTATAAAAATATTATTAAGCCATACATACACATATAGAGGAAAATATAATTTTGTGTTTAATTGTTCATACATTACCATAAAAAAAATTATAATTGTCAAAATAAGTTTATAATTTGATACATAAAATTGCGTATTATAGATT